TTGGCAGGGATTTTCTCTCGAGTCTTGGACTTCCGACAGTAGATGGCGCTATCGAGCCTTGCAAATCCTTCCAGTGGGCTCGTGGGTACTGGTTTTTGTAAGTCCTTTTACTTCAGTGATTTTTGCTCACAAGTCTCATTTTTTTAAAGAATAAGTTTTGCCACTGAAGTGTACCCCACATATCTGTTGTAGGGCTGAGCACATAGTAGGTACCTACCTCATAAAGCTTTGTGTATTTTTATGGTGAGTTTTATGGGCGCTTTGTACGAAATTCAACTTGTCAGCTAGTGCTCTGTCTTTCCTAAACCATATTTTGTTATGAATCAGATTGTTAAATTTGTAATCACTACAAAAACAATATTTAACTATTTAAGAAAAACATGTTGTGGATGAATGCCACAGTGAAGTGATACCTTTAGTTATATAATCCAAAGTGATCATGGTTACACATATATAACATGTTAAAATGGCGTGAATCAGCATATGTTGTGCACTGAGCTGTAGGATACTATGAAAATAGAAAAGGGAGAAAAGCCATTCCTAACCTAATCCTTGTCTTTGAAGACTTAATACTAATGTTGGGCTTCAAATCCCCACCCCCCGCCCTCCCAACCCCCACTCTCCCTGCCACTCTATATCCCAGTCTAAATTTTGTGACATTCTCAGGAGTAGAAAAGATAAAGGCAGCCTGTTAGATCACATTAGCTTTAATTATGGAGATAGAACTTAATGTGATTAGTAAATCCCACTGAGCTGATTTGGAGTTTAAACCTGGTTAAAAATAGCCTTGTGTTGTGTTTTAGAGTGGAGTTGAAAATTGATGTGCTTGGAATGAGCTCACTGTTTTCTAAATTGACTTACATCTAGGGCTTATAACAGGTGTTTGGGGAGGAATGGATATAGATGTATTCTGAAAGGAAGGGACTTAATTATTTGGAACTTATTTTAGAGATGTGACAGGCAGTGGTCAACATCTGAGAAAATCTAATAGGAAAGCCTGAAATGAGAGAACTTAAGTTCAAATGACGGGGGCCTTTGTGTCCAGCTGTCAAAGATCAGAGGAGATTCTGAAACTAAAAACTTAACCCTGAGATTACATAGCTAAGAGCTCTATAGCCTCTATACTTTGTAGTGTTTGTTTTGTAAATGTGTTGAAATAAGAGGTTACTTGATTTCTCTTTCCTTTTGGGGAGAGGTGGGATCTACTTTTGAGGTAGACAGTGGCTGAATTAGATGAAACTAAGCATACGAGCATTCATTTGCCAGGTATGCTGGGACAGCAAACCAGGAAGGAAAACGCTGCCTAAATCTGGCAGCCCGTGAGGAGGGGAGAGGTCTCCACATCTTCCCACTCTGTATTGAAGAAAAGGTAAATTTAAGAAGCCGTAGACTCCCAGGGATTCAACATTGTTAGAAAAATCTGTTGCTTTAAACCCTTGGTTAGCAGCTGTGACTGGACTGGTATAATTCTCTCTTACCTGTCTGTCCCATACAGTCCAGTTCCCTAAGCGAATTTCATTTCTTTCCCAGGCAACAACGGAGCAAACTTAAATGAGGAAGTTAGTAATAGCCATTGACAATGCTTAGAACTCAAAGTGAACATTTCAGAAGACAAGCAGACCTTCGAGTACATGGTATTTCTATGTATTTGATCGATATTTTGGTTGAAAACGACTCTTTTTTTTTTTTTAAAAAGATGACCGGTAAGGGGATCTTAACCCTTGACTTGGTGTTGTCAGCACCACGCTCAGCCAGTGAGCGAACCGGCCATCCCTATGTGGGATCCGAACCCGGGGCCTTGGTGTTATCAGCACTGCACTCTCCCGAGTGAGCCATGGGCCGGCCCGAAAACGACTCTTAACTCGGACCTTCCCATGAAACTATAGTGACATGAAAATGATTCTAGAGCATATGATGTAGTCCAGGTATTCAGTCTTTATCATTCAGAGGCAATAATTTGCTGCACAATTTGTGCTTTGGTACCAGTTGAACAGATTCCTGATAGAACAGCAATATATGTTACTATTTTAGGAAGTCACAGGTTTTTCAGATTTTCTTAGTTCCTTTTTTCCATCACTTATTTAATATCCACTTTATTATTTATTTATTTGTTTGTTTATTTAATTTTAAAAGATGACCGGTAAGGGGATCTTAACCCTTGACTTGGTGTTGTCAGCACCACGCTCTCCAAGTGAGCTAACTGGCCATCCCTATATAGGATCTGAACCCATGGCCTTGGTGTTATCAGCACCGCACTCTCCCGAGTGAGCCACGGGCTGGCCCTTAATATCCACTTTAAATATTAGCCTCATGTCATCACTGAAGGAAGCAGTTTAACCAGAATTATTACATTTTTTTGAGATGGATGCTCCTTTCTCAAATTTCTATCTCGGAGGGCATTTGTTTCTGTCGCGAATCTGTGGAACAAATCCAAGACCATGCAGTCAGACTGAAAACATTTTTTTTTTTCCTTTTGAAATAACTTTTTTTTTAATGCCCCAGTTTTAAAATTTAAATGTGGGAGATACTTTAAATGACAGTACAGTTCTCGTTCAATTCTTTGCACTTTGGGATATCCCTGGGTCTCCTTTTCTGTCATGTTTTATAATTTCAAGATTCTACAAAGGGAGGTATTCCAGTTTCTTTAAGCTTGGTTTTGCAAAAACTATTCCATTTGTTAAGAAAGTGGATTTGAGGCAAACTATAGTTCAGACAGGGAGATAAATGTATGCAGGCAAGATGGGACAGATGTCTAAGAAAATTCATCTACATTGTTTCAGAGCAAGAGCAGAGCAGATAGAATGTTTTAACAGGTTTAAACATGAACAAAATGGAAAGAAGTATTCAGCTATACAGACCTACTTTAGGAAAAACTTGAGGAAAAAAAGTAAGTATGGTAAGTATGGCTGGAGCAAAGACTACATGAACAACTTTTTTTTTTTCTTGGAGAGGGAGCATGTAATTAATCTGTACCTCCAGGATTTTGATAGAACCTAGTAGACAACAATTCTAGTAATGAAATCAGAAATCATTAAAATATTTGGATTAAGGGGCCGGCCCGTGGCTCACTCGGTAGAGTGCGGTGCTGATAACACCAAGGCCCCGGGTTCGGATCCCACATGGGGATGGCCGGTTCGCTCACTGGCTGAGCGTGGTGCTGACAACACCAAGTCAAGGGTTAAGATCCCCTTACCGGTCATCTTTTAAAAGAAGAAAAAAAAAATAAAAAAAAATAAAAAATAAAAAAGTTTGTAGAAAGCAAGAGACAAAAATGGAAATTAATTCTGCATGATCCGTTATTAATACTTGTTATTTATGCCCCACCTTGTTCCAGAAAAGATATAAAATGTGTTACAGAGGGACATGCAACAGAACATAGAACGTGATTAAAAATAAGTACATGAGGAAATCCATGGAAAGATAAAGTGGAAAGGGACTGGGAGTATAGTTCACAGAATATATCATGAGTTCTCGCATATTTAAGAGGGAGAACTTGCCCTTAAGCTTTCTAGCTGTTAGCCCAAAGAGGAAAAGTAAGGATTTTTATATTGACTATTTAAATTCAAACAAAGTCACCCAGGATCTGATCCTAAGATCAGAGAGAAGTTTATTGAAGGTCTTCATAAGTGACATTGTACTATCTTCAATAACTTCCATGCAGTAAATACGTCAACAAGTTCTTCAGGCTTTTGACTACCTTTTCTACAGTAGGTTGATGGCATAACTTAGAAACAATCCAATAAAAGTAGTTCCAGAATGATGTAGTCCAGGTATTCAGGTGGGTTAAAAGTCATTGAAAATCTCTTCATGTTTTTGTGAACATAGTGAGTAATAGGGTTTTGATAGGGTCTTTTGTTTAATTTTAATCCTCCCTAAACCTATTTTTCTGATTAGGCCATCTTTAGTTAATTGTAAAATCTCCAGGAGTTTTAATGAATAGACTTTCAAGATGGGGTAAGGAATATTTTTACATTTGACTGCTACTAACATCCTTTTTGGAGAAGTTAAGAATGCTATCCTTTTTTTTTTAATCCCCAATTATAGCAGAATTGCTTATAAGACCAGTTCTCTTTGTGAGGAGTATTAAAACTCTTCCTTTTACCTGCTAATTACAAAATGGCAGCACTTACATATTAATGTGCCTCTTTTTTTTTTTAACCAGCATATCTTTGTGAAGCCATGAAGCTGACACAGTCTGAGCAGGTGAGACATGTTCTTAATATTTGCGACAAGGGTTAGAAAGATTTTCTTGTGGAGATTTGAATTGTACATAAAACAAAGCATTGTGCCCTTCTCAAAATGGTATAGTCAAATATATATGAAATGAGAAGAGTACGTCAGAAAGAGAAATCAAAACTAATTGAACTGCTGTTGATGTCCCAGACATGGCCTGCAGAAACTATACTTTTTTTCTAGTGGTTCCTCACAGACCTCAGATCACCAAACATGTCCTTTGGAGACCCCTCTTAGGTCGTTTCCTGATCATTAGCTCATATTTATTTGACCATTAGCTCTCAGCAAGTAAGTGGGCCTGGCCAAAGGAAAACCAGTTGGACTACCCTTTGCTTGTCAAAGATAATTTAAATCTGACCAGTTTCCCTCTTTTTTCTTGAATTCTTAGGCAGTTCTGGTACTTTTAAATTTGTTTCACTGTTGGCTTTAAACTGTCTTCTGTGTTTGGAGAGGGCTTGCCTAGGTTTTAAAAATACCTTTATCCAAAGATGATTCTTGATCATAAAAGTGGCAGGTACCTAGGAGGTACTCAGTAAACATTTGTGTAACTAAATATTTGTCTAACTGAAGTAAAGAGATCATTTCTGTAAGGGTTATCAGAGACAGGGAGAAACCACTGGTTCCTTGAACAAAAAGTCGTGTTCCATCCCTTACTCCCCTTGACAGTGAGGAACCTACGCAAGATAGCTGCCTACTACAGGCGTGCATTGAGCCTTCTGAATACCCTCTTGGTAGGTAGACTTTCTTTTTAGCTGGTTATAGAGTTAGTGTCTAAAGAGGGAAGATTTCTGATTTTAAGCTGAGTACAAATGCCATTGCAAAGGGTAAGGCATATTCAGAAAAAGTTCAGTTCGGTGTGTTGATTGGGAATAGGATTTCTGATTTTCTGAATAATTTTTTTTAAGTGAATAAAAAACTGTTAGCTTACCTAGAAAGTTCTAGTTATTTTGAAAATTTTTTGAGATTCTATTGAATTATAAACATAATATATAAATTTAAAGTGTTACTGGGTTATTCAGAAAGGAGGGTCATGGAATAGTATATATTAGACATTACTAAAGAGACTTAAAGTGTTAAATTCTGTAAATTGTACCTTTCATTCTGTGTAATAGGCTCATTTATCACTGGAATTGCAAAGGGATAGCCACATGAAACAGCTCCTCCTCATCCAGGAGAGGTGGAAAAGGGCAAAGCGTGAGGAAAGGTGGAAAGCCCAGCAGAACACAGACAAGGATGGAGCTCCCCGTCTTCAGGCATCTCACAAACCCTCTGCTGAGGATGCAGAGGGTCAGAGTTCCCTTCTTTCTCAGAAGAACAGCCCTTCTACAGAGAAACACCTACCTGAAATCCAGGGGGTCTTTGACAGGGATCCAGACACACTACTATTTTTACTTCAGCAAAAGAGTGAGCCAACAGAGCCATATATTGGAAGCAAAGCTCCAAAAGATGATAAAACAATTATAGAGGAGCAGGCAACCAGAATTGCAGATTTGAAGAGGCATGTGGAATTCCTTGTGGCTGAGAATGAAAGATTAAGGAAAGAAAATAAACAGCTAAAGGCTGAAAAGGCCAGACTTCTAAAAGGCCCAGTAGAAAAGGAGCTGGATGTAGATGCTGATTTTGTAGAAAAGTCAGAGTTATGGAGCTTGCCGCCACATTCAGAAACTGCTACAGCCTCTTCAACTTGGCAGAAGTTTGCAGCAAATACTGGCAAAGCCAAGGACATTCCAATACCCAATCTTCCTCCCTTGGATTTTCCATCTCCAGAACTTCCCCTTATGGAGCTCTCTGAGGATATACTGAAAGGGCTTATGAATAATTAAAAGGAAAGGCCATAGAAGAGATGAGAAGAGGAAAAATATAGTAATACAGTTAATCCAGAAAAAAAAAAAAAAGGGAAATCCAGTTACAAGGGTAATCCCGGAAATGCTTCATCATCTGGCGTACTGTGGGAGAAGAGGCATTGCCAGGACATGGGAATAGTCACTGTGAAATATGTCGCGTATCTGATTGACTGACTCGAGCTAATGATTTATTCAGGTGGGTTAAAAGTCATTGAAAATCTCTTCATGTTTTTGTGAACATAGTGAGTAATAGGGTTTTGATAGGGTCTTTTGTTTAATTTTAATCCTCCCTAAACCTATTTTTCTGATTAGGCCATCTTTAGTTAATTGTAAAATCTCCAGGAGTTTTAATGAATAGACTTTCAAGATGGGGTAAGGAATATTTTTACATTTGACTGCTACTAACATCCTTTTTGGAGAAGTTAAGAATGCTATCCTTTTTTTTTTAATCCCCAATTATAGCAGAATTGCTTATAAGACCAGTTCTCTTTGTGAGGAGTATTAAAACTCTTCCTTTTACCTGCTAATTACAAAATGGCAGCACTTACATATTAATGTGCCTCTTTTTTTTTTTAACCAGCATATCTTTGTGAAGCCATGAAGCTGACACAGTCTGAGCAGGTGAGACATGTTCTTAATATTTGCGACAAGGGTTAGAAAGATTTTCTTGTGGAGATTTGAATTGTACATAAAACAAAGCATTGTGCCCTTCTCAAAATGGTATAGTCAAATATATATGAAATGAGAAGAGTACGTCAGAAAGAGAAATCAAAACTAATTGAACTGCTGTTGATGTCCCAGACATGGCCTGCAGAAACTATACTTTTTTTCTAGTGGTTCCTCACAGACCTCAGATCACCAAACATGTCCTTTGGAGACCCCTCTTAGGTCGTTTCCTGATCATTAGCTCATATTTATTTGACCATTAGCTCTCAGCAAGTAAGTGGGCCTGGCCAAAGGAAAACCAGTTGGACTACCCTTTGCTTGTCAAAGATAATTTAAATCTGACCAGTTTCCCTCTTTTTTCTTGAATTCTTAGGCAGTTCTGGTACTTTTAAATTTGTTTCACTGTTGGCTTTAAACTGTCTTCTGTGTTTGGAGAGGGCTTGCTTAGGTTTTAAAAATACCTTTATCCAAAGATGATTTCTTGATCATAAAAGTGGCAGGTACCTAGGAGGTACTCAGTAAACATTTGTGTAACTAAATATTTGTCTAACTGAAGTAAAGAGATCATTTCTGTAAGGGTTATCAGAGACAGGGAGAAACCACTGGTTCCTTGAACAAAAAGTCGTGTTCCATCCCTTACTCCCCTTGACAGTGAGGAACCTACGCAAGATAGCTGCCTACTACAGGCGTGCATTGAGCCTTCTGAATACCCTCTTGGTAGGTAGACTTTCTTTTTAGCTGGTTATAGAGTTAGTGTCTAAAGAGGGAAGATTTCTGATTTTAAGCTGAGTACAAATGCCATTGCAAAGGGTAAGGCATATTCAGAAAAAGTTCAGTTCGGTGTGTTGATTGGGAATAGGATTTCTGATTTTCTGGTGTTTTTCTAAACCACCCTCCTCTTTACCTCCACCTCCTTCCCTGCCTTCCGTCTCATCACTTTGAGCAATCAGGAATGTGTTTTCTAGGACCCTTTCTGTGCATTTCTACTGACAAAGCTATGTTCATCTGGACTAATACTACTTTTCTGTTGTCTCTGAAGCTTACTGGCACTATTTAGTACTCTTGTCTAATCTTGTTCTTAAGTACTGCGTTGGAGTCTGTTTCTAAAATTGTATGTGCCATTTGACCAGGACTATGGTGCCTGTGCAGCATCCTAGCACAATACCTTCCACAGAGTAGATACAAAAAAAAGAAAAAGGAAACCCCCAAAGCCCCACTTGTTTTATTCATTGTTAGGACCTGGCCTCTAGGCATTTAGCCCATCTCCTGGCTGGGGCTGTTAGATGTGCTTGTGTCTTCTCTCTGTCTAGCATGAGGCACTGAAAAGGACTGAAGACAGCTTGCTTCCCCTGTGTTATGCATTCTGCATGTGTAGGAAGTCTAGCAGGCTGTCGGCCTTCCTTAGTGGTGGCCTCTTGCTGTTGAATCCAGATAACCAGCTGGGTGTTAAAAAGCCCAGAAAGCCTAGTCTAAAGTTTTCATTTTCAGCTTTTCACATAATAACAGTACATTTCTTTCCAAAAGTAGGTGGTGTGTAGTAACAATTTTAGCTATATTGCCATGGTAACAACAGGTAATCCATACCCGGAAGCCACGTTTAAGAGAAAAGGGAATAGGAGAAGAGATTTTCAAAATAATTAGTTCCGAGGGCCGGCCCGTGACTCACTCGGGAGAGTGCGGTGCTGATAACACAGGCCACGGGTTCGGATCCTATACAGGGATGGCCGGTTGGCTCACTGGCTGAGCGTGGTGCTGACAACACCAAGCCAAGGGTTACGATCCACTTACCAGTCATCTTTAAAAAAAAAAAATAATGAAAATGTTTTGTTTCTAGGTAAGTCAATTAAAAATGTTAAATACATTCTTTCCACTTTTAGCACTTCTTAGGTACGTTTTTTTTTTAATGTTTTGGATATCACAGTTTTTAGGGCCTTTAAACCCTGTTATTTTATGTATAAACTAATTGAGGCCCAGGAGGTTAGGAGTTCTGTGAAGCTGTGTACCAGACTGGGAGCAGAGCCAAGAGCAAAGGTCTGATGAGCAGTTAAGATTGTGCTGTGTTTACTGGGCCACTCTGGGACTGAGTTGTTTTGCTATTGTGTCCAAGGGATCTGGTCATTCAAACTTCACTCCAGGGACACAGTATACCTGTATTTCTGCTACTCTCTGCTCTCCAAGGAGGAGTTAGATACTATGATACTGCAATTTATAATAAATATATATATTGGTCTTTGTCTCCGCTTTCTGGCACAGAGCTCCTAAGACCCTTGGCATTTCCTGGGTGATAAATGTGTCTTCTTGTAATGAGGTAACTCTTGGTGGACCCTGGGTAGGAGCAGATCACCAGAAAGACAAGGCCGTGCTTACAAGCTTGGAACTTTCAGCCCCATGCCCCATCTTCTGGGAAGGAGAGAGGGGCTGGAGATTGAGTTAAAAATTGATCATGCTACACAATGAAGCCTCCATAAAAATCCCTGAACTACAGGGTTTGGAGAGTGGACTACTGAACATGTATGGTGCTGTGTGTATCCCTTCCCCCAGTGCATTTCTCCCATCTGGTTCCTGAGTTGTATCCTTTTATAATAAAAATGTAAACATCCTAAGTGTTTCCTCGAGCCATTCTAGCAAGTGATTGAACCCAACGGGGTGTTGTGGGAACCTCCAGTTTACAACTGGTTGGACACAAGCCTAGGTCAAACCTGAGACTTGTGAGTGGGTCTGAAGTGGGGACAGTCTTATGGGACTGATCCCTTAACCTGTGGAATCTGACACTATCTCCAGGTAGATAATGGCAGAATTGAGTTAAATGGTAGGACACCGAGTTGGTGTCCACCAGAGAATTGATGTGCAGGGGGAAAACCCACACATCTGGTGTCAGAAGTGAGGTATTGAGAGAGTGTGAGTAGAGAGAGGAAAAATAGTTGGTTTTTCCTCATTCGGGGACCATCTGGTGAAAGTTGAGTTTGTAGATAGTAAAAAGTTCCGTGTCTATATGGTAACATTTTTCATTTGTGGGCAGTTGTAGCTAAAGTTTTAACATGATGTTAGTGCAAAGCACGGTCTGCCATAGGGTGTTTACAACCTATTTGAAGACTCAAGATGTGAACTAGTAATAGCTATTACTATTTATTGAATCATTCTAGACCAGTGGGTTATCTATGTAAAGATCATTCATCTTTATTGTACTTTGTTAATAATCCTAGTATAGCCTAATCAGAGATCTCTATGGGAGCGAGTGGCATGGCTGTTTAGAAAAAAGGGAGTTTTCAGATTGTTGTGTCCCAGCTGCAATCATGTCCTTTTAAGAGCCACTGCTGACCAACAGTGCCATCTGGTGGACAATGAGAAACTTCTGGTTCTTGTTGGGTCAATGGCCAGGAAAGGTACTTGGTCTCTAGACTCAAAGCTGGGCTGTGCCAATGACTGACATGGGTGGGTCTGGTTGAGGTTTTGCCTGATTTTCCTAGTCTAGAACAGATACGCAAACCTAGTTTAAAAATAGTGTCTGTAGGATCTGGGCCAGATTAATGCAGGCAGGGACTGTAGCCTTGCACCCTTGCTTCCCTCCGTGGGCCAACAGCCCTCCACCTCCCTGGAGGTTAGGCTGAGAGCTATCATTAGCGAGACTTGTTCTAGCTGGGGAGAGGGGTATGCTGATCTGGAGGATTTGGCAGCCAAAGCAGGCCTGAAGCAATGACCTGATTTCTTTGGAAAAGAATCAACTTGATGTTTGCTCAGCATCTGGGAAGGGAGTGTGGTGGGTTGCAAAGAGTTTACCAAGAAACGCTTAGTTGGTTACTAGTAAATACCTCCTAGTAAGAGTGGTTTGTAGACATGTATAGGCAAAGAAATGCCTTGGTTTAAATCAGTGTAATACGAATGCAGGCACCAAATATTTAATGAACACCTGTTTAATGAAAACCATCTTGCTTCCTGCCACTAAAATATAAGTAGGTGCTGTACTTCTGGCCTTCATGGAAGGAGTAGCAGGGATAAGAGGAGGGGGAAGTGGCTTTCTAGAAAACAGGACAAACAAAGGCATGGAAATAGGAATGAACTGAATAAGCTTGGTCAAAATCACATCTTGATAGGGCACATTATGAGAGGAAATTTGAAGGAGGTTCAAGTGGATTATCCTCCCATATCCTAAAAGTGAGAGGCTTGAATCAGGTCCTGGTCTTGAGGAGTGGAAAATATTTGGAATAGGTGCATCAAGGTTAGGATTATTCAATAGCCAAAGAATCCAGGTGAAGGTGGGGGCAGTTTTTGTGGTCTCTATTGTGGGCACTAAATTAGAAAAAAGTGGGGGATACTCCAGGTATGACACAGGATAAAGGGTGAAGGAATCGAGGATACAAATGAGAGTATCTTTAAAGTTGTCAAACATCAATTCCAGGATGTATAGAAGACAAAGGAGGCTGGCTACGAAGACAGGGAGTATGGAAGGGATGAGGGATTAAAGCCTCATACGGGGCGCCCAGAGGTAAAGGATAGTTTCTAGAAAGATGTGTGAAA